TTTTCCTTATATAATCCGATAAAATCTGCAGGGGACACTATAATAAACCTATATATCTAAGATACTAATGAAGATACTGAATTCAAATTTTCAGGATTTGGTCCTGGTATGATAGGTAATCTGTATGACAAAAATGACAAAAAGAAAAAACTCTGTTGCCATAGTAACAAGAATACGACACTATTTGTTTCCTAAGAAATGTGTTTTAAGGGGTTTTGTCATTCTCTTCATATTTTTAATTCTTAATATGTCTACAATGTGGGATGATTAAAATTATGGTAAAGTAATCTTTTCTATTGTTCTATTGTTCTCTAAAACAGAAGTTGCTATGGCGACACATAGATCATAGAAAAAATCCTGGGATGATCGCCCTATTTGTCAGGAAATTAAAATGGAAACTGAAAAATGAGTTTCTTCCTACTGAATAGCAATTTGGTAGACCAAGGCTGACACGCACAGGAGAAAACATCTATCAGTTCTATGTCATTTTGTTGTTATTTTTTTATTTATCGTGCTCTGGGACTTATAACACCTAATGCCGAATCCTTTCCAACTGCAAATGAAGCCAAGATTTTAATAATGAACATTCATATATCTCAACAAATATGGCATACGATTTGGACAATGATGATGAAACTCTGAGGGAAAATTAGACGAAACATTAATGTGAGTGGTCCAAAAATAACACTTACATGTTTTGAAAAAGTTATGCTCTCGGGTGAATCAGTGCTCATTTAAGGATAGTCTGAATCAGGTGAATTTTTTAACCTAATTGTACCCCTCCCCAAAACCCCCAAATTTTGACAATTGTCGAAAAGTGGCAAACAACAATTAAACAAACATCATTAAAATTAAATATGGCTATTTCGCTTCTATGTCATAAAGATATGGTACGATCTCAGGTCAATCAATAAATTATACAAGTGACACTCTATCTTATGAAGAAAATATTATCGTATTTGAAGACATGTCAAAAATTTGGTGGAAATAATTTTGTCACTCCTGATTTGACCTGGAAAGGTTCAGGTAAGTTATCACAAACAATTTCAGACAGTTATATCTTTGATTATGACTATTTTCTGACCATGAAGTCAGGGTATACAGGGATAATAAAGTCAATCGGACTCGGAGATATTTCACTAGCAATCAACCCATCAATATATTTTTTCAAAGTTGTTGACCTCATTTTCACCAAAAATGCTATCATTTTATTAATGTTTAATGCATTACTTTTCTTTATTTTAATGTATCAAATAGCTCTTGAAAAGAAAACTGAATTCCCCTAAGATTAGTGTTCCCCATGTTATTTCCCCTTTGAAATAATTCATGCTATCCTTTGGTTTCAGTTCATTTTGATCATCCAAATTCAGTGTCTTTAAAGTCCCAGGAGCAATCCACTTTTCCTCTTAGGAAATAGAACATGTCTCAAAGCATATTCTAATTATGCATTCAACAATATAATTAAAGGTTGCATCTTTGGTGAAAATTAGGTCACCATTTTTAGTAAAAAGTATGTTGATTGGGCCATTCCCTTTAATATCACTTAGGTCTGATTAATCATTATATTTACTTTTCTTGAAGATAATGAATAGATCTAAAAGATATACCCATGTTCATGGTCAGAAAATATTCATAATTCAAGTTAGAATTGTCTGAAGTTGTTTGCGATAACCTACATGCTCCTTTATAACATTATTATGTAAATACAGTAGAACCTGTGTAAGTGGAACACTCCATTCTGCCACAAAGCGTTCCACTTAGAAGGTGTTCCACTTATGGAGGTTTTGGGTTCGCAGGGAACATACAAGATCAAATATAGGATTTATATGTATCATTGGAAATATGATTCTCCCTTCATTACCAGAGATCACGATAGTTGAAAAAACTTGTTAGCCATTGTGGCTAAATCTTCCCAAAAAAATTTCGCCAACCAAAATATGAATTAGCCAATTTGAAAAACCGTAAAAAAGGGAACATTAAAAATGATGCAATGTCTGATGATGACAGTTTCACTTTCAGTTTCACTTTTCAAAATCATATTCAGAAATAAAAAAAACGTCAATTAAAATTGAATGTAAAGCATCTGCCGCGAATGTGATCGGCATTTCACATAGTCTGCACGGTGTAATATCACTAATTCGTTTACCTTGTGATATCGGAGTCCCAAAATACTTCCAAACTGCCGACTTTTTCGACTTAGATGCCGGATCGATTTTTCAATTTCTTTCCTACATCCGGCATACTGATAATGCACTCGATTTGCGAACGACGATGAAGAAATTTACGAACAAGCATTACCATCTACCTGAAATCGCGGGTCCGTTAATAACACTTTTCAATGCAAAGAAGTGTAAACTAGGTACGAGGTAAGTGAAAATATTTAATTTTTCAGAACGAAGTCGGAGGTGTTCCTCGCTATTTATACACGTTTTTATGCATTCTAGGGAAGGAATCTATGTACCGATATTAACCCTTTCTGTCCCATGTCCCGAACCGAAGCATCTGGACCGAAATTCGGTCCAATATCGGGAAACCGTGGCAACTCTAATTCGCCATAACTGCGAAATACCTTTACATATTTTTCGCCACCTCTTTCGAAAATTCGCGATTGGCGAATGGCGAACGTCTACCGTGATCTCTGTCATTACAGGGCAGGTATATTCCATTAATAATCCATTTATTTTACTCAAAAAGGTATCTGACATTCTTAATCCTCCTCATTCTGCCAAAAATGTTTTCTGACATTCTTAATCCTCCTAATTGTGCCAGTCTCAGGTACAAGGATTAGGCAATTAAGTTTTAAAGACTTGTTCCTACTGCTAATAATTCAATTGTTTTTAAATGACATTTTTAATCTTACTTATTAAGTTTGAAACAAACAGCAAGGGATATTAATTAGTGGTAGCATCACGTGTCCAGTTCTACAGGAGGTTAATTCAATTTTCTGAATGAAAATCTTATGAAATCCTAATTTGCTGATTATCAAATTAATTGTTGGTTGCATCACATGTTGACCTCTACAGGAGGTTAATCCATTAAAATCCTAATTTGCCAATTATCACAGTATTACCTGTTTTCATACCCAGATATCATTGAGGGAGATTAATTCTGTTTACATATATCAATATTGAAATCTATGGAAATTGACTGTTCTACTTAGCAGGTTAATTTTTCAATATGGGGTGTTCACTGTTCAAGTTTGGAGGTGTTCCACTTACAGAGGTTCAATTAACATTAAGTCAATGGGTTTTTAAAACGGGACTTTGAAAAGGCGTTCCACTTGGGAGGTGTTCCACTTACAGAGGTGTTCCACTTAGCAGGTTCTACTGTACGTTACTTGTGCATGATGACCACCATAGTCTAGTTGCTCAAATGAGATCAATTGATGATTATAATGTTTAGACTTTATGTCAATGTCCAGACTGTATGCCAACCTCTCTAGTATGTGATTACACTAGATTTCATTATGATACATGTACTTAATTGAAAACTTACATATAAAATATCTTAAGTCCTATATTCTAGTAATAAGTGAATTAGAATGTCACCTAACATTTGATGATGGTATGAATTTATTGATTTGGTGTCTATCAATACATGTTTCTAACTTAATGCTGCAAAATGATAAAATTCACCACATTCACTTTCTTCAATTTTCCAGGGGTAGGGCACTATAAAGTCATATTAAAATTACAAAATAGTACTTCATAACTAAAATAGATGTATTACAATACCACACATAGCTTGGAAATGTTTTTAAAATACTACTTTGAGCTGTTAAAGCTTTCATATTGTGCTTGAAGCTACAAATATAAAATTGGCAAGACAAAAATTGCGTATCTTTTTCCTGTTTTTTATATTTTTCTGAGACCAATAAGGGTATCAACCCATAACTTTAGGATAGTATTCATATTTGTACTAGCAATGTATGGTGTACAACTCAGAACAATAGCTCACATATCCTTTGAGTTATGAACTAGTTTCATAGTACCCCCTAGAATATTTTCCTAGGGGGGTAAAAATGCCAAAATTTAGTGTCGTGACCACCCCGTTGAGCTGTCATCTTTTAATATCTTTATCAGCATGAAAAACTGATCTAGTAAAAATAGGTCTGTTGCTTTTTCTAAAAAATGCCTCAAAAACTTGAATTATTTGAATTGGAACCTGTCTAGTATTCACATCCGTGATGTACGCTTACAAAATATACTGTATTCCATTGGAGTTATATTACACGAAATGCACACTGTGCCCCCTGCCCCCTACCATAACCTCTAATATGAAAAGCTAGAAATTTGTCCCAGGATTTTAAAAATGCCAATTTTGGCCAACATTATTGAAATTTTTAACACAACCTGCAGAAAACGAAGTCTTCAAAAAATCTTGCATCCTTCAGTCACAATGTCGGCTTTAATCCAACCGTACCCATTTTGTATGTGTGTTGTTTGTTTCAACAGTGGACATATCAGATGACATAAAAAGACACTAGAGATATCAAACTGATACAACCTAATTCTATTTCCGTGCAAAAGTGGGCGAGTTATATATATTTGTCTCACAAATGGTTTTAGAATTAATTCATACTCAACATGAAAGGCTGAATCAACTTAACTTATATTTACATTTTTCTAGTGTCATTTGATATCATAGTGATATTTGGATATTATTTTACAGTCACATGTGTTCAATAACTGTAGATCAATGAGACAACATAAGCCCCTTGTAGTATACCTCTTTGTAGAAACCAATTAGTGCCAATCTAAACGAAATAAGATAACTAAGGAAAAAGCTGATTGGATCAAATATGCGATCTTATCATGTTAAGATGTCTTCATAAAAATAAATGCACTATCAACGTTGATGTCTGTGAATCTTAATCAAGATTGAAGAATCGTATTAAGATTGAACATTGAGCCAAGATGAAAGAAGACCACAGCTCATTGATGGTTCCATGATAAAAAGAAAAAGAAAGCATGCCTCTAGAAAGCTGGAAGTACAGTGTATTTACATTTCCATTTATGTCGGCTACATTCATAACTGCATGTATCTCCTCGAAGGTAATATCTGAACTCATCTATTTATAAAAGACGTACTTAGAGCAGTAAAGTGTGGCGCTGAATGCACTTGGAGGATTTTCGATAGTTTTTGCCTTGCTGACAATTCTTACCAGCTCGCCAAATAGTACCCTACGATAAGACTTGCCGTATTTTAGGCTTTTTCACAGATCAGTAATTATTAAAAGGACTAAAGATTATGATAGGACTTTTGGGATTCCACTGATAAGCACAAACTTAAAGGATCAATAGAGGATCATTATATATTCATTTCAACAATTAAAGGAAACACATTTTAACACTTTTTTTCTGAACTCACAACGCGCAACTATGTATTTCCAAATAAAAGTAGTGACAATAGGGACGCTTATATTGGCAAGTTTGCTTACTGGTAGTAATGCATGCGGGTCGTACTGCTATGCTGATCTGACTATTAGGTCAGCATGTGAGGAATTCTCGTTTGACATCTACTCCATGGTGATTTGTATTTGTAAACAATGGTAAGTATTTTGATTCGAATCATACATCTTTTAGAACATTATTCTTTAATTCAATATTTCATTTCTTAATTCTGAGATTGATTACCAGCTATTTGTAAGAGCGTAAAAGCCACCGGGCACAGCATGCCAGTTGACTTTTTATAGTTTCAATAGCTCGAAAAAATAATGGTAATTATAAAATAATAATGTACATCTTTCTTTGAACTCGCAAAAGTACTAAGAATGAATTCTAGAGCAGTTCGTCCAACCATCTTGAATACACTTTGGGGAATATGTATACGCTTTTTATCCCATGGTATTCAATGAAACAAAACCAAATTATATATCTAGTCTACATTTTGAAATATAAAAATGTTATTGTATAACATAAACACATACACATCAAAAAGTTTAACAACACGTATACATGTCCATCACAGGGTATTCGCAGCTTATTCCTCAGATTTTTCTATGATGTTGACTGTCAGAGCATAATAATATGATGATATTACAATTCCCATATGTTTAATAAGCTTACACAATCGCATCAAAATCTCTATTTTCAATTTTATTTCGAAAATATCGCTTCTCAAATAAGTACATCATTATAGCCCGCTATATATCGACCCAACTGAACGTATCAGGAAGCTTTGTTTGGCAAAACATTCTAGGAGGTGAATACGATTTTCGTGAGCGGGATTAGGAGGTGAATACGATTTTTCAATATCAAAAATACGGACAAAAATATTCCTTCTCTTGTCCTTATATTACATAATATTTCATGACAAAAAATAAAGTTTTTTTCTGCATAATTTTAAGATGAATTTCAGTAACTTCATCTGTGAATACCGTGAAAAATAACCTTTGAATTAAAGAATATTTGAATTATGAACAACAAGCATATTATGACATCAAAGCTTCTTCAATCAATGTTAATATAATATTGAAATTGTATCTTGAAATTGAAAAAGTAAATAAAAAGGTAAATATTTACAAAACAAATTACAGATTTTTTTTAAAATTTTTTATATTTGCTTTATTTCATAATACATCATACAAACAGATACAAGGCCTACGCCGAAGCATTTTTGGCCCTGTTAAAGTAGTTACAATATAGGTTAAAATAGGTCACAATGTAAAAATGATAGATATAAAACATATTTATGAACATGAAAATAATCGTGAAAACGTGAAGACATGTCAGAGATATATGTACATATTAATGAATATTGGACTATTTAACTTCCTTGACAATAGAGTGTAAAAGTTCGGCTGTTAATTCAATAGCCTTTTTATTTGTAATTGTGTCAAGAGAAGGATCTGCAAAAAGTAGAAAGTCTACCCTGTCTTCCTGTTTTCTATTATTAAAAGAGTTTAAATTAAAGGATGGCAGTCTCCCTAGTTCTCTGTGAAAATTGAGTACAGATTAATTGGCTGATTATCTCCTTGGCAATATCATAGTTTTTAAAACAATTTTCAAGATTCCCCCCCCCCCAGAAAGTCTTTGTTCACTTGGAGTTCCATTCGATCATGCTTTTTACCGAATCAGATCGCTTCAGTAACAAAATGTCCTTGAAGGTGCGATTTTTCTTTGTTCCTTATTTCACCAGTTAGGCAGAATTCCTACAACATTTTAATTTGTCAGTATCATATGTACATGTTTGCGAACAAAAAGTTAAGACTATGTTTACTGGTGATCCGCTCGATTACGCTGGTTACCGAAACGGTTCGTTTCCGTAACAAAATGTCGGAACGTCGAAAGTACGATTTTTCTTTTTCCTTATTTCATGCGTTGTAGGCAGAATCCCAGGACATTTTTTCGCACAAACAAAAATGCATGTTTGCGAAAAAATAGGTCAGAATACAACAGATCGTAGAATTAATTCCTCACTTAAGTTACATAAACGGTATGGGTTAAAAGTGCAGATCTTAACTGTTTTTCGAAAAAGTCTATGACAATTTCTATAACCCAATCCTCAAGTGATTGTCATTCTCGAAAAACGGTCGGCTACGGGGTGTCCAAGTTATAATTTCTACGGCGACTCTATGGGCCTGGATATGCCGTGCAAAAATCGTAAGCCGAAGGTTGCCGTGGAAATTTGCCAATTTAATGGAAACTACGGTCGACGTATGGTCGCCGTAGAGCAAATGTGACTGAGATTTTAATGTTAAAATACTTCCAAAATAAAAGTACACATTAAGGGAGGTACTATGAAAGCCATATATAATTCCTAGAATATCTAACCAATCATCTTGTTATTGACAGGTAGTTATCTGCTCACCATGTTCTTCCACTATGACAAAGTTCATAAATGCGGGGCAAATGGTTACTATGGTAACAGAAATCATTTGTTAAAAAGTACACATTAGGGTGTACCATGAAAGCCATTTATAATTCCTTAAATATCAAAACAATTTTTTTTCATCACATCACTAAGGTTGGTATCCCCATACAAAAGTGTATCAGATTTCTTAGAGATTGTTAAATTTCTGAAATCGGGCAGACATTCCAGTTCGTCGAGTCCTGCAAGAAGCAATTCCCTTTCATTTATGAGCAGTGAACATTTGATTAGAAAATGAGAAGTAGTTTGTTGAGCTGCACCACATGGACAATTGGGATCAAAACAATCATTATGATATTTACAGACAATCTACTACTTATCATCATGGGCGTAGGGCTATATTTTGAGTTGGTACGCACACTCGGGGATGCCTGATTGCGTGGCCGAAGTTCGCACATCGCGGGGGATCCGGAGGTATGCTTCCCCGAGAAATTTTTTTCAGGGACGTTATTTCATGGAATCTAAGCGTTTTTATCAACTTTAAATGTTGCCAATGGTAAACATACAGATACGGTAGGAAGCATCAATAAATTCGCAAATAAACACAATGCATTTTAACGCATTTTTCATTTTTTCATTTTTTTAATTCATTTGGTACACCTGTGCGTATTTTGCGTAATAGGCAATCATGTCCTACCATGATGACAAGTTTCATCAATGTGGGTCAAATTTGGGTAGAAATCTATTTGTTAAAAAAGTACACATTTCGTTAAAATTTTAGGACACACCCTAAGCCATTGAAAATCTTCATCAAATTGGGAGGAATTAGCATGAAAACATTTAAAAAAACCTATTTTGAGTATTTCTGATAATATTTAATCAATGTATATTTCATCTGGGCTATTTGATGTATTGTATTTGCTTATGATAATAAAACTATGCAGAATGCGGCTGTCACATTATGCGTAGGGACATAGTAAATTATGAGCTGATCTCACTTAGACATCTTTTATATCATTTGCATCAAAATCCTCATTCATAGATCTTTCAATGCCTACTTCTGTCAAAGCATCCGTTGCAATCTTTATGTGACTGTCTATATGTCTATGAGATCATCAGGTGGAATGGGTTGGTCTGGCCAATTTGGCTCTATTTTGACAAGTGATGGCAAAAAAGCGTCCACTGTTGTGATTGATGAGATGTGATAAGTTTTATGAAATGTTTCCATGCTTATTTCTCCCAAAATGATGAACATATTATGTGCTTAATGTCAAAGGTTGCATGAGTCTTAGATTTTTACGAAAATGTGTACTCTTTTAACAAATGATTTCTGTTACCATAGCAGCCAAATTACCAACATTGAAGGCACTTGTTATACTGGTAGGACATGTAAACGGATGATTACCCGTAAATATCAAGATGATTGATTGAATATTTTTGGAATTATACATGGCTTTCATAGTACCCCCTTAATGTGCACTTTTTAACAAATTATTTCTGTTACCAGAGCAACCAATTGACCAACATTGATGGCACTTGTCATACTGGTAGGACATGATAAGCAGATGATTACCTGTAAATATCAAGATGATTGATTAAATATTCTGGTAATTATACATAGTAACCCCTTGATGTGGAATTTTTAAGAAATGATTTCTGTTACCATAGCAACCAATTGACCAACATTGATGGCACTTGTCATACTGGTAAGACATGATAAGCAGATGATTACCCATAAATATCAAGATGATTAATTGATTATTCTAGGAATTATACATATTATCTCCTTAATGTGTTTTTTTAATAAATTATTTCTGTTACCATAGCTACCAAGTATTAAACATTAATGAAACTTGTCATAGTGATAGTGAATTATAAGTAGATGATTACCTGTAAATATCAAGATGAATGGCTGTATATTCTAGGATGGCTTTCATTGTACCCCCCTTAAAATCATACCAATGGGGTATAAATCTGTTTACCATAGTAACCAGTAATCCAATACTGATGAAATTTTCCATGATAGTCAAACATAATGATGTGAATAGTATCTGTTAATTTCAGGACAAGTAGTCACTTATTTTCTTCAAAAAGTTGAACACAAATAAAGAATTCTTTAGAAAAGTGCCACATCCCCTTTCTAAATTTACTTGCATTGCCATATAATCATCAGCAATAGATTCCACTGTGTGGATAAGATAAAACAGCAGTTGGTTTAATATTATCAAATATACTTTGAATAAGTTTTCTAAAATGGTTTCATGGTGATTCCTTCCAATTTCATGAAAATAATATGTTTTTTGTCTCATGGGGTATCTTACATTTTGACGAAAATGTGTACTTTTTAACATATGATCTTTATTTCCATAGCAACCAGTTGATCAACTTTAATGAAACTTGTCATAATGGTAGGACATGATAAGTACATGATTACCTGGAAAAATCAAGATGATTGGCTCTATATTCTAGGAATGATATATGGCTTTCCAAGTACCCCCCTTAAAATTACACCAGGGGGGTATAAATCTGATTATTTCCAAAACGCTGAAAAGCTAGATACTAATGATTTCAGAATCAATGTATAATAATAATCCACAAATAACCTACATGAAGAGAAATTTGCTACTTTTCAAAACCACTTTTACACCACGCTCATCCAGTATAGGTAGATGCGTGAATCACTCATGAGTTTTAAAAATTGAACGTCAGAGTCTAATGCCTGAAAATTGCATATTATAC